GCATATGTGAAAGTGAAGCATTTTTCTGTAGAATTCCATAGGTTGAAATCTAGGAAAAGTGACTCAGGCAGTCTTAGAAATTATAGTGAATTCCTTCATAAGGTGTAAAAAGCAGAAATGCATACTTAAAAGAAATTCATCCTTCAAATACCCAGAAGGCAGAGCAATGCCCCCTGGGTAATTCTAGAGTCAGCGGCATCTCTGCCTCCAGAAGTCTCCTGTGCACCTGACCTCTCACTAACACATGATCCCTCTGCTTCCGGTATCACTGTCTTCCTCTCTCCAGGGAATGAAGGCATTTTAGAAAATGCCCTTTAAATTTTTTTGTAGTTGTTTTTTTAGACAGAGTCTCATTCTGTCACCCTAGGCAAAGTGCCATGGCATCATAGCTGCCAGCAACTTCAATCTCTTGGTCTCAGCCTTCCAAATAGCAGGTCTACAGGCACCCACCACAATGCCCGGCTAGTTTTTCTATTTTTAGTAAAGGCAGAGTCTCACTCTTACTTAGGCTGATTCAAACTCCTGAGTTCAGTGACCTGCCCACCTCAGCCTCACTGAGTGCTAGGATTACAGGCATGAGCCACCACACCCAGCGAAATGCTCTTTAATTTTGACAAATGATAGTTCAGAATGAACTTATATTATTTTTTCAAATGAACCCCAACCTCCAAGGCTAGGCTTTTTTTTTTTTTTTTAGGAATTAATTTGTCTATTGCATCCTTCAAAAGAAGACTAATTGCTGTTAAACATATGAAAAAATGTTCCATGTCTGTAATCATCAGCAAAATGTAAGTCAAAACCATAGTAAGATATCACCTAACTCCATTTAAAATAGCTCTCACTGGAAAGTCCCAAAACAACAGATACTGGTGTGGAGAGAAGGGAACATTTTTATATATACTGTTGGTGGGGCTGTAAGCTAGTATCATGTCTATTGAAAGTAGGATGGAAGGCCAGGTGAGGTGGCACACGCCTATAATCCCAACACTCTGGGAGGCTTGAGTTCAGTAGTTTGAGACCAGCCTGAGTAAGAGTGAGACCCTGTCTCTAAAACTAGCCAGGCATTGTGGCGGATGCCCGTAGCCTCAGCTACTCAGGAGGCTGATGCAGGAGGATTGTTTGAGCCCAAGAGTTTGAGGTTGCTGTGAGCTGTGATGTCATAGCACTTACTAGGGCAACAAAATGAGATTATTATCTCAAAGAACTAAAAGTAGACCTACCATTTGACTGAGCAATTCTACTAGATATTTGCCCAAAGGAAAGAAAAGACATTTTATAAAAGAGACACTTACACTAGAATGTTTATAATAGCACAATTAACATCACAAAGATGTGGAAACAACCCAGTGCCCATCAATACATGCATGGATTGGGATGGTGCCTGTGGCTCAGTGAGTAGGGCACCAGCCCCATATACCAAAGGTGGTGGGTTCAAACCTGGCCCTTGGCCAAACTGCAACAAAAAAATAGCCAGGTGTTGTGGCAGGCTCCTGTAGTCCCAGCTACTTGGGACCCTGAAGCAGGAGAATCACCTGGGCCCAGGAGCTGGAGGTTGCCATGAGCTATGATGCCACAGCACTCTACTGAGGGTGACAAAGTAAGACTGTCTCTAAAAAAAAAAAAAAAAAAATATATATATATATATACATGCATGGATTAATAAAATGTGGTATATGTATACCATGGAGGAGTACTCAGTGATTAGAAAAAACAAATGATGATCTGGTGTCTTTTATAACAACCTGGATGGAACTGGAGACCATTCTTTTAAGTGAGGTTTCACAAGAATGGAAAAACAAATACCACATGTACTCAATACAAAATTGAAACTAGTTGATCAACACTTAAGTGCACATATGGAAGTAAAACTTAACAGAAATTAAGTACAAGGGAGGAAGGTGGAAGGGATGGGTCAATTCACACCAAAGGGTACTATGCACACTTTTTGGATGAAGGCCACCCTTATAACTTTTACTTAAAATGTACAAAAGCAAATTATGTAACCAAAATGTGTCTACCCCTATAATGTTCTGAAATTTAAAAAAAGATTCCAAAACAACAGATGCTGGCATGGATGTGGAGAGAAAGGAACATTGCCCTTGGAAGAGTGCCATGGTGTTATAGCGTATAACAACCTCAAACTCCTGGCCTCAAGTGATTATCTTGCCTTAGCTGCCCTAGTAGCTGGGAGTACAGGCACCCACCACAACACTTGGCTATTTTTTTAGAGATGGAGTCTTGTTCTTCCTCAATCTGGTCTTGAACTCCTGAGCTCAAGCAATCCAGCTTCCCAGAGTGTTAGGATTGCAGGCATGAGCCACCGAGCCCAGCCTGGAGACCATTCTTCTAAGTGCTTAATAGCTAGCTGGGTCTGGCTATATGATGGGCATGGAAATGCAGCTGTGCTCTGAAGAGAGGGCTTAAAGAATCTGAACAGCTGGGAAAGAAGGATTTTAATTAATTGTGTGGGCAATGGAGTTGGGAATGAAAATGACTTAGCCAGGGCACTCTTGGCTGCCCAAAGTGAAGGGTGTGTGTTGGGAATAGAGGCCATGTGGAGAGCCTTGAAATCCTGATGGGAGTTGTCTTGGACAGGTCTGAGTCAAAAAGGAGAATGATGAGATTCAAAGCAGCCATCCCCACATTGCAGAAGGGCCCGCACCCACCCCTAAGTTTTCATCCACTCCCAGCCCATGAGAGAAAGAAGGACGATGTAGTAAGTTCTTTATAAAGCTAAATTGTTCAAGTTAAACACCTGTCCTTTTCATGTAATTACATCCTTCATTAGTTGAAGGTTTAAATACATCCTTACTTTGTAATGAGGAAAAGATGATAGTCTTAGTATATGGTTATTTCCTTTAATGCCATGGCAAAATAAAATTGAAAATTGGCTTCAGAAATTATTTTAATCAGACCACAAAATCTGAAAGTGTTGACATCACTATACTAGAAAATTTTTTGTCTTGTGGTGAAGTTCTCGATGGCCCCAGTGCTGCACCAGCCACATCATTTTGGTTTAGTATTACCTGTCCCCATTCCACTGTGACAGGTCCCCCAATTCCTGGTGACAATCACTTTGCTCCCCTACCTGTTAGCTGGCTGTCTCCCCATCCCCTTTGCCCCACGGTGGCCCTACCTTCTTTTGCCAGGGGTCACACTGGCTTCTTTTCCTTTCCCTCCCCTCACTGTTCTGGACGGGAGTGGAGCTTCTGCTGCTACAGTGAGGTGCACAGTAACAGAAAGCAATTAGAAAGGCAGATCTGATTCTCCAGCCTATAAGACATTGCTCATGTTTAGTCATCTTTCTCATTCTGTCTGCATTAGGGCTTACAGGGAAAGCCCAAGTTACTGGCTACATGTGGGCCAGTGGACATGTGTCCTGTTAGAATAACAAGACGAGGCACAGTAGAATGGAGTGAGCCTGCTGTGGCCTTGGCAAGAGAAGCAAACTCAGCTGATCTCGAGGCACAGCTACGCTGAGTGAATGTAGCTGAGCAGTTTGTGCAGTTCAAATATCTGGAAACAGAAAGGCCAAGAAAAACTTCTTACAGGCTCAAGCCTAAGCTGATGAGGACCCAAGTCAGTGCCAATGAGGAGAGAGATCCCTGTTGGCGTGGATCATAGGGTATAAAGGAAATGGGCTGCATGATGTGGAGACCTATGGGATGAAGGGTGAGCAAACAGAAGGGTTAAGGATGTCCTGATGAGATACATGTAATTCTTGTCCCTTCTGTTTAACAGCATTAACATGTGACTGCAATGATCATTTTAAATAATTACTTTCTGGCTCTAGTAGGTAAACAGACTAACTTTACAACGTTCCATTATCCAGCTGACTTTGTGATTCTTGGTAAAGTCATAAATATTGCTCAATTCAAGTTACCAAAGAATTTTATATACTACGTTTAACTAGTTTTCTTATAGTTGCAGGAGTTAGGAACAGTTCTGGTGATGCCATACTGAGTAAAGAAGTATTAACAATTTTTTTGTTTCCTAAAATTCACGTCAGTAGATTATTTCTATTTCATTGCCATTAATCATTATAATAATTGTGATAAACACAAATGCTGTCAAATACTGGATGGAAAACGACAGCCACAGAACCTGGGAACAAAAATCCTAATATTTGATCTTTCTTAGCATTTTACCCGCAGAATTATAACTAAATTGAATCGTTAAATATTAAGTCATTAAATTAGAAGTACTGGTTTCCACCAGCAAGCAGTTGGACACATCTGAGCCCTCTGACCCACCTGGGTAGCAACCTGATCCCTGGGCCTAACCAGAAAAAATTGAGTTGTTTATACCCACCAAGCTGGGTTGTGGTCAAAGAAAGTGAAGGGGCATGTCTAGGTGCTTTATGTGTGCTCATTATGTATTCTTCAAAGAAAAGTCTTCCTTGACTGTTTCTACTTTTCATGATGTGATGTCCAGAGGCTCCCAGGGCTCTTCTAGCCCGGGGTCTTCCCTTCCCCCTGTGGAAAGGTGGTGGCAGTTCTAGTCCAGCGCGCCTCTTGCCCTTTCTCTCTCTGGTGGTTTCGTGCTACCTGCGTAGTCTGCTTCATCACAATGGTCACATCAGTTATTTAGTATTTTGGTAACAAACATAAACCTATGTTTATTAGATCCTGTAAGTCCTTTTTCTATCTTTAAAAAAATAAATATGGGGCTGGGCAAGGTGGCTAGCACTCTGGGAGGCCAAGGTGGGTGGATCACGTGAGCTCAGGAGTTCAAGAGTAGCCTGAGCAAGAGTGAGACCCCCCCCCCTAAAACATAGCCGGGCGTTGTGGTGGGCACATGTAGTCCTAGCTACTTCGGAGGCTGAGACAAGAGGATCATTTAAGCCTAAGCATCTGAGGTTGCTGTGATACCACGGCACTCTACCAAGGGTGACAAAGTGAGACTGTCTCAAATAAATAAATAAATACAGCTGTATTTTCTTGTCTGTTTCCTAAAGTTTCTGATGCTCCTTCAATGAATGTTCTATTTCTCTTTTGCAGATAGTAGTTCCTCAGGGAAGAACAGAAAAGAAGAAACTTATATCTTTGAATCAAAGGGCAATCGAGGAGGTGGGGAACACCCACCTCCAGAAGCAGGTAAACATGTACCTTGGAAACCCCCTGCAGACACAGACTTCTGCAGAACCTTGGGTGGAGGATGTTAGATGAAGCCACGAGAGCTCACAGCAAGAGCAGCACTCTATATAGGGGAGAGAGAACTTCTCCTTGTTTCCTATATTGTGCTGCATCTTGGGGCTCTCAACAGTAACTTACTATCTTTAGATCTCAGCTTCCCCTTCTATTTCCCCTCCAGGGGTGGCATCTGTGGAGAAAGTCCTCCTGCATCGTGGTAGTGAAGGACACAGGCTCTACAGTCAGATGCCACAGTTCAAATCCTGGCTTGCCCATTAAACTCTATGACCTTGGGCAGGTTATCTTACCTCTCTGGGTCTCAGTTTTCTCATTAGTAAGATGAGGACAGTAACTATACATGTACAGCATAGGGCTGCTAGGGGAATACAGGGGCAATTAATAAGCATTAGTGCACAGCTTGGCTCGTAATGAGCCAAATATATAAACGATGAGTTATTTATGATGCAGGAAGGGTAAAGGTCTTAGATTACCTAGTTCTTTCCAAGTGCTCTAGTGACAAAGACAGAAAACAGGAATGGGGGGAGAGTGTAAGAAGTAGAGGAGTGTTTATGAAGTGGAAGAAGAATAGCATAATTTCATAATTTTGGTTGGTTTTGACCAGAAAAAAAAAGATATTGTAGAAAGGTAGGCTTTAGTCTTAATTTCTACAAACAAGTAAGTAAAAGAAGATTTAAGAGAACAAAATATGATTCTTAAATTACAGATTTAAACATTGATAAAATTTTCTTTTTACCCTAGAGCAGCAGTTCTCAACCTGTGGGTTTCCACCCAGGAACTGTATTAAAGGGCCATGGCATTAGGAAGGTTGAGAACCACTGCCTAAGAGTATTCTTTTTAATATATGGGCAATATTAAGATATAATTTTTAAACAATAGATGGCTAAGAATAATCCAGATGTCAAGTGCTGAAGTCTGTTGGTCTACTGGACTTAGCCTGTCCCAAGATATTTGAATAAAAGGGGCCCTGTCTCCTATCAGGTACAGAGAGAGATCAGCCTGTCTGTTCCTCTCACACCACAAACTCTCAGTTCTAATTGGCTGGTGGCCACTCTATTAATAGGGTTACATATTTTAAATGTCACTCCCATTCATATGAACAGAATACATAACTCATCACCTTAGCTGGTTACTGAGAATACTATCACTGTGTGTTTTAAAAGGGGCTAGAAATTTTTTGTTGTTGTTTTGTTATGTTTTTTCAGAGACAGAGTCTCATTCTGTTGCCCTGAGAGAGTGCCTCACAGCAACCTCAAACTCCTGGGCCCATGTGATCCTTTTGCCTCAGCCTCCCAAGTAGCTAGGACCACAGGCACTTACCATAACGCCCGGCTAGTTTTCAGAAACTGGGTCTTTTGCTGAGGCTGGTCTCGAACTCCCAAGCTCAAGTAATCCACCCACCTCAGCCTCACAGAGTGCTAGGATTATAGGCATGAGCCACTGTGCCTGGCCCTAGATTTTTAAGTCTCAAATTGGGCCAGGCTTGGTGGCTCAGTTGTACCCAGCAATCTAGGAGACTGAGGAGGGAGGATCACTTGAGGCCAGGAGTCAGGATCAGCTTGGAAAACATAGCCGGCCCTGGTCTCTAAAAAAATAAAAATAAAAAAAATAGCCAGGCTTTATGGTACAGTTCTGTATTCTAGTAGGATCACTTGAACCCAGGAGTTTGAGGTGCTACTGAGCTAGGATCACACCACTGCACTCCAGTGACAGAAGAAGATTCTGTCTTAAAAACAAAACAACAGTAACAAGTTCAAATTGCCCAAACTAAAAACATTGATGAAACTATGCCAACTAAGTATGAAAAAGTCAAGAATAATTTTCAATGTTCTGGCAAGTACTTCACAGGAGATTTCATTTTCCTTGTCATCAAAGTATTAAGCAGGAATTAAGATTGGATAGTTCAGCGACCTCACATCTGCTTTGACAAATAGAACATTTTCCTAAATCACACAACTGTTTTATTGTTAGCATAGCTGAACCGGAGCCCCAGAATTGGGCTTGGAGTCTTCAACTATAACAACTATAGCTTCCTTCCCCTTTAGCCTAAACACTGGTGCTCATTTTAAAACAAGTCAGTCAAATACATTATGAGGTCTGGAAGTCTTTTGTTCTCCTGCCCTGAACAAGCAGAACCAGGGCTGGGTTGTAGTGTTCAAGTTTGGAGGAAGTTCCTAGAAGGGGGGAGGATTGACCAAAGTCGCCCCCACATTTTTTTATCTTGTCGCTTTGTAACATATCCAGCTTATGTGGTTAGTGCAGGAAAGGGGAGAGAGAACCGACACCTCTAGGCCGTGGAGCCCTGCCAGAGCTTTCACAGGATGGCCAGTAGGAGCCCCAGCTGTCAGTGTGCAGAGATGAAGCAGTGATTCCTGACACCTTGACATCTCCAGAGAGCTGCTGTGTGTAGAATATATGAGACAGCTTCTAGAAGGAAATTCCTGGCAGTGGGTTATCACAGATTTCTACCTTTCGCAATTTTCCAGGGGAATGCTGGCCTCTCTCAAAACTTTGCTTGATACTTAGGCAACTTCCATATCCCTTCCTGTTCCCAGGCATTTCCAAACCGTTCTTGGAAGTCTTGTTCAGGAGATTTATCTAAGATTTTAAAAATACACCAGTTTGAAATGCTGTTAGTTAGTCATCAGTTCTGGTCCTCTTTTCTTCAAGAGGAAGCTACCTATACCTGGGACCATTTTTAAGTCCAGAAAATCAAGGCTATGTAGAATGAACTTCCTCAGCTGTCTGCCCCTCCCCCCCACCCCCAAGAACTCCTCTATCTGTACTCACCCTTCCGCCTTCCCTCTCTCCCAGGTGTCTCTCTCCCCTTGTTTTGACATAGTCCCTGGTCTCCTCAGGTGCATTTCTCCGTCATCTGTGAGTTCTGCACTATTTTCAGTCTGTTTCTCTACGGGTTCATTCCCCCAGTGGCTGCAAACACATTCAGATCTCTCTTAACATAAAAACATAAAAACATAAAAACATAAAAACACCAAATAGCATCACTCAATCTTCAGCCTCCCTGTAACTGAAGTCACAGTCGCTCATTCCTGCAGGCTTTCCACTTGACCTCTCTTGATCTCTCCACAGCCTCTGGTTCTGCTGAGCACTTTCTTCTTGGACTAGCCTCTCCCTCAGCTTCCAAGGTCTCAGTCCCTCCTGGTTGTCCCACTGTTTCTCTGGTCAGTCTTCCTCTGTTCTTTTCTGGTCCTCTAGCCTGCTTTTAGAAAAAGCTGGTGTTTCTCAGAACCTTGGCAATCTTACCACTTTTTTGGCTGCAACTAACCATCTTCATGCTAAAGGCTTCCACACATCTAGGCCCAAGAACCTAACAGAAAATTCCACCTGGATCCTCATATAGGCATCTCAATCTGAAAAATGTTAAAAAATAAACTATCTGCATCACCTACCCCAAACAAGCATTATCTTATGCCAAAATCACTTAAACAGAAATCCTGCAGACTAGATAAACCACTTCTTTATACGTCTGTACTTCATAAATTTATCATAGTAACCATAACACTTTGTTGCATTTTTTTCCCATTTAAATATGCCTATCTGCCCAAACTTAGTCATTCAAAAGCCGTCTCCTTTACCGTTTAGAGACGTAATATACCATAGATGTATGTACCGTAGGTTCTGGAGCTGCCCTGGTACCTACAGTACCATCTCAGATAAGTCATTTGATTCTCAATGCCCTACTTACCTCATTTGTAAAAGGGGAGCACAGTAGCATCAACCCAGATGGTGCTTATGAGAATTCAATGATTTAGGCTATAAAGCTGGCAATTTGAACATTAGCTTATCTTTTCGGGGGTGGGGGGTGGGATTTATTTGTTTATAATAAAAATTGCTTATTTAATACCAGCATCTTAACTCAGCATCTGACATAGCAAAGGCTCTAAATTAATGCAGAATGAGTGAATAAATGAAAGAAAAGTTTGTAGAATGAGCTTACACATGGAGATGTTTCACCTCTAGTTCTACCAGTTGGCAAAACCCCTGCAGTTAAAAATAATTCCACCATATCATCTCCAAACCTGGCCTGACTACAGAGTAAATCAGATTAAAAATAGAGCCTGCTGAGCTTGATAAGAAAGACTGATCTGGGCACATCCTGTCCCCTCTATACTCCTGCAAGCCTTTAACAGTTCTAGTCTGATGCCTAGGAAACTAAAAGGACCCTTGGCCAAAATCACACCAGCATATTCTGAAATTAGCTTTCTACAAAGGTTCTACTGGCTGAGAGTAGGTTCCCTGATTTGGAAAAGAAATTTCTTAAGCCCTAACTAGAACAGATAATCAAGAGTTAGTCCAACATATTTTAATAGAGAATGATCATTAATGATTTCATAAATGTAATCTGTGACTACTGAAAAAATTTCCTATGGTCAGCATGTCTATAGTTGGATAGAAGAGTGATCTGACTGCACATTTGTACCAGTGATGGCAGATAGATTTTGTAGGAAGTTGGCATAGAATTTAGTTTTAAACCATATCTGCTCTGAGACTTGAACCTACAACTTACAAGCCTATCACTCCTATACAAATTACATAATAACCTTTTTGCATTTTAATCTACAAAATTAACATCCTGGTACCAATTTAGTCGAGTTGTTCAGAGTAAATAATGCATGCAAAGTGCTCATCATATAGTAATTAGTAGCTATCATTGTTAGTAGTCACTGTCTTACCTCTTGATTTCTAAACTTTCTATAGGTGCAGTACTGCCCCTGGCATTGGGTTTGGCGATAACTGCTTTGCTGCTTCTCATGGTTGCTTGCCGACTACGACTGGTAAAACAGAAACTTAAAAAAGCTCGTCCCATTACATCTGAGGAATCGGACTACCTCATAAATGGGATGTATCTATAATAAATGTAATTGAAATAGCTTTGGAGCAAGGACATGTTTCAATTGTAATTTATACATATATTATGTTCTGGATATTTACAACTTTTTTGTTTTAAAATAGCCTTGAAGATTCTGCAGATCTCTAACCACGTCTATTTATTATAGAAAGATTTTCCTTAGGAAGTATGAAATATTTTGAAATTTAGAGAGGAATTCATATGATTAGAGACTTTTAAAACTCCAATTTTGATTTTCATAATTTGTCCCTGAAAATAGAAATTTGTAATAGCCAGAGCAGAAAATTTAGTATCTCAAGAGATGGTTTTAGGATGGCAACATTAACCCCTCATGTTTTAGAAGCCCCTGGCAGTGCTGGGCCACTGTGGGCACAGCCCCCTGTGTCCTGAGGGCCTGTTCTCTTCCTGTAAGCTCCTCAGGTGCTCCTATTTTTTTCCCCTTCAAAACCTATTTCTGAAGTGATCACAAGTGACTTTAGATGTTACCTATAGCAGGTGTATCTAAATTATAAACCTATGAACAGGTCAATGAGCCTCAGGGAGGATGAATGTGGGTTCCTCCTAGTGCCTCTGACGTCATGTCAGGTAGCTGCATCCTTAAACTAATCTTTAAAAGAAAAAAAGCCAAACTTTGGATTACCAGCAACTCAGAGGTGGTCATAAAATGAAAGAGGAAATCAAAGTGGAAGCAGAGGAACTGGCAGGCCAAAAATTGTAGCAGAAACTTAGCTGAGGGCAAAATGAGCGAGGAGAACAATACTTCATCAACTCAACTGGCTTCCGTGGTCCAGAGCATAGCAACTCATTTACTGAGAGTCACTGGCTTTCAACATTAATCTTTGTTGATGAAAGAGAAAAATACAAATTGAAAACCAGAACATTTGAGTGGATTTTTGGGTACAGCTTTTGGAAAAATGTCACCATGTTTAAGTATCAGCAGGTTCTTTCATCCAATGGAATGAGCCAGTTTTCTCCTCTTTCTTTTAATGCTATAAAATGTAATAATGTGCCATCACCTAATGCCAGGCTTATATATTTCTACAGCATAAAGCAGTTTTTCACAAATTTGTCTTTGCAGAAAACTGTCATCTAGCTTAGTATCTTTCCCCTTTTGATTTGTAGGTCTTTAGAAGCAAATTATTCTAGTAATCACTTAATGCTGTGATTATACTTTCTGGAAATGGTTCTTCTGAGAGGAATATATAGTAAGTATGGTGCCTGTCTACATTCACATGATGTTCCTATTTACTTTAGTGGCAATTTTTTTTAATATTTGAAAAACATTCTATAGAGTCTAGTACACTTTACTTTTAGACTAAACTTAAGGTAGGTTGTTCCGTTAGCAAAGGGCTTAAGTTTAAATGGAGGATATAACATATCAAAATACATTAACAGATGGAAAGTTCTAAAAAAGTAAAAGAAATTAGGTATTATTTTTGTTTCTTGAGAAACTCAAGTATTTTGTTGAATGTTTAAAATTAAGCAAAGATTAAAATTTCTCAAGGGCAATTTAGAGAAATGAACTATGTGAATGAATTTAAGATGTTTATATACAATGCTGTGCAGTTTGTTTTTATATAGAAAGATGTCACCTATAGCCATACCCAATAAAATAAAAACTGATGAGGCATGCATCTTTCAGTATGTCTTTTATACATAAACACAATTTAGTGTTACAGTGTTAAACACTTAAGCTGTCCTGTATCTATGTAAACAATATTCCTTTAATAAACTACTTTATTCTTAACCTTTGCTTTACCTTTTAATGTAATCATAAGTTGTCAATGATGACTGACCTATTACTATATTATTTGAATTTAATTGTATCAAATTTTCCCTCAAGGGAGAAATTGCAGATTACAGAAAAGTAACTTGCTTAAGGCCATAAAAAGTGTATTGGAGGCCAGGTGTGATGACTCATACCTATAATCATAGCACTCTTGGAGGCTGAGGCTGAAAGATCACTTGAGCTCAGGAAACCAGCCTGAGCAAAAGGGACACACACACCCCCACCGTCTCTACTAAAAACACAAAAATAGCCAGGTGTGATGATAGGTGCCTATAGTCCCAGCTACTCAGGAAGCTGAGGCACAAGGAAGATTTCTTGGGCCCAGGAGTTTGAGGCTGCTGTGAGCTAAGCAGATGCTGCAGCACTCTAGCCTAGGCAACAGAGTGAGACTCTGTCTCAAGAAAAGAAAAACAAACAGGGCTCGGCGCCTATAGCTCAACCGGCTAAGGCGCCAGCCACGTACACCTAAGGTGGCGGGTTCAAATCCCCAGCCCGGACCCGCCAAACAACGATGGCTGCAACCAAAAAATAGCCAGGCGTTGTGGCGGGCGCCTGTGGTCCCAGCTACTTGGGAGGCGGAGGCAGGAGACTGGCTTGAGCCCAGGAGTTGGAGGTTGCTGTGAGTGTAATGCCACGGCACTCTACCCAGGGGGACAGCTTGAGGCTCTGTCTAAAAAAAAAAAAAAAAAAGAAAAGAAAAACAAACAGTATATTGGAGGGAAGAATTAAATCTCCAAAATATTTCTATTATCAGATGGACTAACTGGACTTTATAATAGTCATCTCAGCCTTATTAAAGTGGGTCTGCATCTAAAACAAGTAAAAATAATTTTAAAGAGGCTCAGGTGCCTGTGGCTCAAGTGGCTAAGGCACCAGCCTGAGCTGGCAGGTTCAAATCTAGTCTGGGCCCACCAAACAACAAATGACGGCTACAACCAAAAAATAGCCAGGTGTTGTGGCGGGCGTCTGTAGTCCCAGCTATTTGGGAGGCTGAGGCTAGAGAATTGCTTGAGCCCAGAAGCTGGAGGTTGTTGTAAGCTATGATGCCATGGCACTCGACCCAGAAAGATAGCTTAAGGTTCTGTCTCAAAAAAAAAAAATAATTTTTTTTTTTTTGCAGTTTTTTTTGGCTGGGGCTGGGTTGAATCTGCCACCTCTGGCATATGGGGCTGGCGCCCTACTCCTTTGAGCCACAGCACCGCCCATAATAATAATAATTTTAAAGAGAAAGGTCCACAATTTCTCTTTCAAACATGTTCTTGTTTCACACCTCTTCCTAAGGCCCACTGAAACCATCTCTCTGAACACTTACTTTTTCCTTTCATTCTCAGTAAAAACTGTAATTTCTCCATTTAATGTTCCTGAATCACCTGAATACCAAATATATTTTCTTCCATAGGAAAATAACAGAACTTTTTCATCTTTCTCTGCCTCACAGTTCCCTATCATACTTACCAACACCTTCTTTCAGTTACTAATGGCCATTCTTGTTGCTTTTTACTGTATTTTCCCTCCACCCCAAAATAAAGATGTATATTTCTATTTGCTTTCAGTTCTGCTGTTCAGGGCAGACTGTGTTGAACTTAACTGGAAACCTACTACAGTGTGCCGTGCCCAGAATGCTGGTGCTGGCCTTACCTTGAGATGTGCCCTCACCATCATCGTGATGCTTCTTAACACAGCATCTGAGCCTTGGATTCTATAATTTGGGGTTGCTATTAAATTGTATTGTCCCCAAATTCTCTCATGTTGTAGTTCTTTTGAGATTGTGCCACTTTGCACTTAGCAGATCTACTTCTATCATTTCTCTTCTGGACTCCAAATTTTCTAGTTTTTCCCATTTAAAATGAATGAGAAAAGCTGAACATAGAGAAGGAAAAGCTTGGTGTGCACTTTTCTGTTAACAAATGTTCTCATCTTGCTGGCTTTTTTAGCACTTGTGTTGCAGACTTCTAAGTTCCTGGCCGGGTTTGAACTGGCACCTCCAGTATATGGGTCCGGGGCCCTACTCCTTTGAGCCATAGGCACCGCCCTTTTTCCCACCTCTTTTGCCCTACTGGATCCTAATATTCTAAAGACAAAAAGTGAATTATTTTAAGTTATACCTACTTCAATGGCTAACACTTACAGATTCTTAGGCTAAATATGAAACCACCAAGGACAAAAGTAAGGTTAGACTCCCAAGCTGAATTTTTTCAGCATGGATTGAGTGATTAGAATTAAGCTTTCACTATATTTGCTTTATCTAGGTCTAACTAATCATGTCCTCATTCCTACTTAATTCTCAAACTCCATGAGTTTCTTAAATGGAAAGAAACTGACTTGTAATACGGGGTTAACATAAAGTCCATGTGCGATTTACTATGTTAAACGATTTTAAATTGCACACGAACTTTATGTCCACCCTGTATTATTCAGTGTAAAAGTGAATCATTTTGTCAAGTTACTTCAAAACAAAATTTCTCAAAACAAATTTTAATACAAAAATAATTTTAATTTTACAAAAAAGCTTTAGGCAAAGTAATTGTGTTCCATATAGGGACTTTTAAGTATAAGTGTTCTCTGGCCAGGCATAGTGATTCTTGCCTGTAATTCCAGCACATTGGGAGGCCAAGGTAGAAGGATCATGGGAGGCCAAAAGTTGCATAACAGCTTGGGCAACATGGCAAGACTCCATGTCTACAAAATATAAAAAGAAAAATTAGGGTGACACCTGTAGCTCAGTGGGTAGGGCGCTAGCCACATACACTGAGACTGGCAGGTTCAAATCCGGCCCAGGCCAGCTAAAACAACGACAAATGCAACAACAACAACAACAACAAATAGCCGGGTATTGTGGTGGGCGCCTGAAGTCCCAGCTACTGGGGAGGCTGAGGCAACAGAATCACTTAAGCTCAAGAATTTGAGGTTGCTGTAAGCTGTGACACCACAGCACTCTACCCAGGCGACAGCCTGAGACTCTATCTCAAAAAAAGAAAAGAAAAAAAAATTAGCCATGTGCAGTGGCCTGCCTGGTAGTCCCAGTTACTCAGGCAGGAGAATCACCTGAGCCCACAAGTTTGATGTTGCAATGACTCTATGATATGACTCTAGACACTGCACTCTAACCTAGCTCTAACCTGTCTCCAAAAAATGAGTAAAATTAGAAAATACAGACATGTCTTATCTCTGAACTACACACATACATAAATTTAACTCTTTTAAAGAGAAAAATTTAGACCTACCTAAAATCCATTACTTCCATTTCTACCCATGCATGATGTTCCCTTAAAATCCATTCCTATTTATTCATCATTGTAAAATCTTAATTCATAAAAATGTAAAGTCTAAAAGCAATGCTTGAATAATGCTGAAGGTATAGCATTTGTCTGTACTATTCAGGTGGCATTTAAGTTTATCGTATCACATTCATAAACTGTCTCCTCAACCAGACTGTGAACTATTTCAAAGTAAGGGCCTTTTTCTATCCCCAAAACCTAACACAGAGATTTATATGAGGTAGAATTTTTATATTACCTGGCAATAGGTACGGAGGACACAGAATAGTAGTTAAGTTTAAAAATTAGAGTCCTGAAGAATATTTGACCTTTGCGTCTACCTCAAATGACACTGAGTTCTGGACCACAAGGGTTCATGGCCTGGGTCCAGAAGCACTCAATAGCAACAGCAAAGTGAAGCTAGCAATAATACTAGTTTCCTGTGTCTAAGACCCTACCCAAAAAGAGACACTTGTGAAAATGTATGCATAAATTTTTAAAGCCATTTAAAAGAATACAGAAGTAATGTTTATGACTTTTAAAAGTTGCAGAGCAAGGGAGAGTCTCAGCTAAGGATTTCCCTGCCAGAATTATGCATACTTGCCCCTAACAGACGGGCTCCATTGAGAGCGCTAGTTCTGCTCATTTGAGAGCCTATATTTCCTCAAGTTCTAAAAATCTTAGAAAAACTAAGATCTCATTATAAAAGGTATAAAACCACACATTTAAACAAGATCCCAAAGTGCAATATCTTCTTAGAAACTTACTTGTAGGTATTATGTTAATAAATCTGTAAGTGAGAAAGGTTTTGAGAGATGTTTATCTTTAACGCTGTTCTTTCCTGACATTATGGCAATTCATTCACCTGCTCACTTATTCAGCATTTGTTGTACATCTACTATAAGAAAGCCCTGTGCTGGCTCGGCGCCTGTGGCTCAAGTGGCTAAGGCACCAGCCACATACACCTAAGGTGGGGGGTTCAAACCCAGCCCGGGCCCGCCAAACAACAACGATGGCTGCAATCCAAAAATATAGCCAGGTGTTGTGGCGGGCGCCTGTGGTCCCAGCTACTTGGGAGGCTGAGGCAGGAGACTCACTTGAGCCCAGGAGTTGGAGGTTGCTGTGAGCTGTGATGCCACAGCACTCTACCCAGGAGGACAGCTTGAGTCTCCTGTCTCAAAAAAAAAAAAAAAAAGAAAGCCCTGTGCTAAGCAGGTAAAGAGAAATGATGACTGAAGTATGTCCCTGACCCTGAATGCAGTCACATTCTACAGTTGGAATAATGCTATTTACCTACTTAGATTTCACAAAATAGACCATTAAAGAAATAATTTTTTCTCTGTGATCTTAGCATTTTGTATCTGGTGGACTTACAGTTCTTCTATATTCAAACATCACCAATATCTCTTTTACTTTTAACTTTATTTGGCAAAGCAGCACTGCATAAACTGTTCAGTAACTAGGACACAGCTTACACAGCATGTTAAATTCATATACATTATCAGCAGCAAATTAGAAACAGAGAAAAAAAACACTAAGCTACAAGTCTCCTATAATTTTGAGAGAGAGGAAGAACTATTTCAGTTATGTCCAATCTGAACAGCTGAGTGTTTACAGGACATGACCTGCCATCGTAAGGTTTAATATTTACAAATGCCTAGTTTAAGGTAACAAAGCAGCTGATTGTATCTACAACATGCTATTCTATGACACCACATCAAAAGCTTTAAAAAGAAAGCTCATCTCTATTTTTTTAGTAGCATCTAACAGACATTCAAATACCAAAAATCTGAACTTGTGAATGGTGGCGTTATTCAATGCACAAAAGCAATCTGATAAATTAATACCAGAACAGAATTAAGTGTCCAAGAAAGAAAAATCACTCCTCAAAATCAATTCACAAAATAAGTTTTCCATTTTGTAGAACCCTTTCTTTTAATATTTCAAAGTAAAATGTGGGCATGTTAAAGTCATAATACACAACTTTATACTCTGCATCCTTCATCTACCAATTTGGCTCTCTGCCTCTTTGAAGAATTAGAAACCCTAAAAAAACCACACATTTTCATGCTGAAAATAATAGTGTAACAAAGTCCAAAACAAGCTGTGATGGTGTTGATTTTCAAAAAGCTTTGAGGACTGAGATGAGCAATCCACTATAATATTAGAGACTGGTCAAGCCGATGTTGCTTTTACAATTCATCCCTAGGGGTAGAAAAGAGAAAAAAATATTAAGTAAGAGTTACATACTATATAATCTGGCTTTATGATAGTGTAGATACAACTATTAAATCAATAAAAATTCACTGATCCTCAATCAATATATTAAATAAATAAAAGAGCAAACAAGCACAAGTCCCTAAGTCAAAGCAAAATAAGAAGTCAGCCATTCCAAACATCTTTCATGCTACACCAGAATGAAGTATGAAACCCTAAAGCCTGAGTTCTTTATTTTTAATTCTTTTATTTTTTATTTTTTAATTTGCATTTTTTTATTAAATCGTAAACACATAGATCATGTATACGTTAATGCATTTACGGGGTACAATGTGCTGATTTCATATAGAATTAGGAACACTTACATTACACTGGTTAATATATACTGCATCTCGTTTACTTAATTATTCAGTTAAGACATGTATACTCTATGCTAAAAGATCCGAAATGTACCCTTGCATTATGCACCATAGGTAGATTTCTTGGCTGGGCACAATGGCTCACACCTGTAATCCTAGCACTGTGGGAGGCTGAGGTGGGTGGATTGCCTGAGCTCAGGAATTCAAGACCAGACCGAGGAAGAAAAAGACCCCGTCTCTAAAAATAGCCAGGCGCCTATAGTCCCAGCTGCTTGGGAGGCTAAGGCAAGAGGCTAGCTTGAGCTCAAAAGCTTGAGGTTGCTGTGAGCTGTGGACACCACTGAGGGCAACAAAGTGAGACTCCATCTCAAAAAAAAAAAAAACAGATTTCTTCCTTCAAGATCAAAAACTCAGAAAAATTCTAACTTTTAGGCTTAGGATCACCTTTACACTACTTATTATAAAACTGACAACCTGAGCATTCAGAGTTCAATTTTTTATTTTAAAGTTACATTCACAGAATTGGACAAAAATTTAGTATTTTGCTTGGAGTGTCTATTAACAATTATGGAGTGTGTCACTCTCAACCCAAACTGTCTGGGAGAAAAAAGCACCATCTGTAGGTATAATATACTGTCAGCTGATTTCATAAGGCAGCTTTACCAGCTCCAAAAGAAACCATCACTCAGCCAGGTGCAGCACTATGTCAGCAACTGCACTGAGAGGGAGGAAGGAATAACAGTGCAGTCTAAAATGAATCGTATGGCATGCAAATTATACCTCAATAAAGCTGTTAAGTGAAAAAATAAATACAACTGCCCCCCAAAGCCTAGACGCCTCATAAAGAAGGATAATAAAGTGACAAAAACAACATTAAATACTCAACTATTTGGGGATAAAGAAGCATGATGTTAGCAATTAAATTTCAAATGATTTAGGGAAAAGAAAAAAGCATTACACTTATACGTATAGATAGGGAGTGATGAAGAAATGTGGAAAAGCGCTAATAAATGGTTGACTCTGGATAAAGAAATTGAGGAGTTCGTTTTACTATTCTAGCAACTTGTCTGTAATAAAAACCAAAAATTTTGAAAAAGTTATTAAACAAATATTCTCTCCACCTAAAAGATGCTTTAATAAAGGAAATTAGGTTTATAGATGTGAATTCTAAAATTTACAAACAAAAATTTCTTTTTTTGTTTTTTGAGACAGAGCCTCAAGCTATCCCCCTGGGTAGAGTGCCATGACATCATGCTCACAGCAACCTCCAACTCCTGGGCTCAAGCGAGTCTCCTGCCTCAGCCTC